GTACAGAAAATAATTATGTAGTGGTTGCATTAGTTTCCTTTTTCCGGCATATATTTTAACCTGGTGATCCTGTCGGTAACACACTTCTTCCTACAGTGACAGCACTCATTCACTGTACTGTGTAGCTAGACATGTAAGCTTGCAAAAAATTTGTTTCGTTACAGATTTTTCGTTATTTTGTTTTTGGGGATTCGGGTCCGAAAGTCAATTCTAGGGCTTAAACAACTAATCGATTAGAATAGTTGGCAACTATTCTCATTATCGGTTAGTTGGGAGAGGGGGAGACAATTAGGTTCGGGATGCCCAACAAATGGGTAGAAAAAGCCCTGTGATGTCATGACTTGCTCCACACCTTTGTTAACATTCTGGTCCAAAGCTGCGACGAGAATTCATCGGGATTGGACGGGTCGGTGGGCGTTGTTTTTCTTTTTCTTTCGCCGAGTCACCGGCCGTCATTCATCATGATTAACGTGGATCTGTATCGCTGGACGACGTGATTGACCAGTGGATTACATCGATGGACTTTTATTTACTTTGAAGTTAAATAACAGAAAGTTCATTCAAAATGATATTTGGAAAAAAATTTGGATTCATGTGAAATTTTGGTTTTAAAAAATTTGGGTTATTATTTTCCATTCGGAAATTCGGATGCATCCAGATGTCCAAATTTCAATTCGGAACGGAATTGCACGTGTCTAACTGTAGCTATGGGGGAGGGGCAGCATTGTCACGCTAGGTGTCTCTCCTGATTTGGACTTCAAAAATCTCTCCAAATTATCATCAGCATTAAATAGAGAGGTGTACAGTGGTTCACAGAAGATACATGGGAAGGCTCATTAAATGGTTTAAAATTTTAGCTGGTCAAACAAAAAGTTAAAAGAACCATGACATTCTACATGTATTGTTTTGTACTTGCAGAAAATGTACGAGGTCTGAAAAAAAATTAAAAAAAAAACACACCTAATGCAGTCACCACATCTAAGGAAACTTGTAAGATGCAAAATATTACAATTTTTGTGCATAGGCCTAGATACACTAAAAACGTTAATCAAAAGCAAAAAAATTTAGTGGCAAGGGTTTAGAACCCATCAGGTTTTTATTACTGTATATGTCTCCATTTAGGCAGTTTCAAGTAAAAACAGAAATGAAGGCTGCTGGTGGGTATTGATCAAGTGAGGGAAAATCCCTAAATTTTATTTTTCTCACTAAAACAGGAGTAGAAGGCAAATCTTCTACTTGTTCCAGTGCTAACTGCCTAAGCGGGGTTTCCCTTACTTTTCTTCACTTTATGTGATGTGCCTACAGCACAGTTGGTGAAGGGAAAGGCACACAGAGGGCAAAAGGCAAACCTGACAGGGGTTTCAACTATTGACCATTCCAAAATGAAAAAAACTTTTTTTGCTTTAAGCGTAAATTTAACCTTTTAATGATTAGCGGTTATTGCTGTATAGATACACAGACCAAATTTAGCAGCAGAACGGAAATTGTGCAATACATCAGATAATAGGATATAATATTATCTGTTATATTACTCTATTTGGATGATGATCTATTTTAGGAGATGTGGATGGAATACTTTTATTATTATATTTTAATCTAATGGCTTTAGAGGATATTTGCTCTTTCAAACAAAGTTACATTTTGTATATAACTATTTTTTTCTCCATCTTGGTTATTTAGCATGGTTTCATATAATATAGAGTAT